GGGGATGGCTGCCAGGGAGCTGCTGCTGGCTGGTCTGGCCCTCAAAGCTGACTCATCTAAAGGAGGAGGGTACAGAAGCCAGGGCTCCACCCCACGCCCACGCCTATCTCAGCTCATAAACACAGCACTGCAGCCAGCAAAGCCCTCCAGGACCTGAGTCCTGAGGAAGGGAACCCGGGGCTTGACTCAGGAGTGAGTGGGCCTTCACCCAGCACCCAGCAACTGAGCAGTGACTGCAAGAGCCCCAATAAAGTGGGGCGGGAGGGAATCACTCTCACTGTCTCAGACTTCAGTGGCTCCTTAGCTCGTTTAAGAAAGCCTGTTTAAGAGAAGTCAAGTTCTGTGATGATTTTTGCTTTACAGGTGAATATTCACTCTAGGGGACAGATGCAGGTTCCAGTCCCCACCATGCGGCTGTGGGGCCTTCTGGGAAGTCACTGCCATCTCTCGGCCTCGTTTGTTCAATGCATCTGTGAAATGGGAGGTACTTAGTCTTAGAGGCAGAGGGGGACCCCGTGCTTCAGAACCAGAGATGCAGCCTGAAAACCCATCACTTACACGTTGGCTAAAGCATGTGTATACAACCGGCCGGTGGTGGTGCACACCTTTAATCCCAGCACTCCGGAGGCAGAAGCAGGTGGATCTCTGTGAATTCGAGGCCAGCCTGGGCTGTATACAGAGGGAGATCCAGGAAAGGCGCAAAGCTACACAAAGAAACCCTGTCTCAAAAAACCAAGGGGGAAAAAAATAGCACGTGTCTACTGACAGTTTATTAGGGGCTTGCAGTTTCCAGAACTATCCCAGTTCCAAAGCTGTGTCCTAACTTTCCGCATAAACCATCACATTGCCTCAAAAATTCCACTCTCTCAATATCCAAACACCTCCTGGGCCTCCTCTTTCAGAGCGCCTGCTCCAACATTCTTTTTCACAGGAGAGAGCCCAGTCTTTGGTTCAGAAAATGTTGTCAGCAGAGCCCTGCTGACCCCGGCGTCAGGGAGAACATGGCCATCAGGACTCCCTGTGATCTCCGATTTGGTAGCTGCCCAGCAGGCACTTCTGTTGGCTACCAAGATGGCTCCACCACTGAAAGCATCACCCGCTGAGGGACAGACACCTGGAGGGGAGATGGGCTCAGCCCTCACCTCCCTGCCCTGCCATGCGGCCTTCCTGGGGAGGCAACATGGCTAGAGAGCGGCGAGTGAGGCCTAGGTACTCAAACAGCACCTGGTGGCCATATTAATTTGGAATAAGAGACACCCAGAGGCATCTCTGGTACAAGGTACTCCAATGCAGAGGGAAAAAAGAAAAATCAGCACTTAGCCTTGCACATGGCCAGGCCTGCTTTACTCAGCAACCAGGGGAGCACCCCAATTACTCTGAACGCGAACTACCTTGGAGGCGCAACGCAAGTAACTTATTACCCATCCCCGTGTACTTCCTGGCAACCATCCCTGGCACTTAATAATGACCTTCAACTTGACAGGATCTCAAATCACACAGGGGGACCAGCCTGACTGCCAGGCATAGTCTAGATCAGTTTAATTAAAGTGGGAAGACCACTCACATTGTGGCTGGCACCATCCCGTGACCCAGGTCCCAGACGACACAAAAAGGAGGAAGTGGGCCAAGCATCGGGGGTCGGCCATCCCTCTCTGCTTTCCGACTGTGGTGGATCCAGGGTGACCAGAGAGCGGAAGTTCTTGCAGGCCTGACTTCCCTGCCATCACAAACTATGCTGTGGGAGCCCAAATGAACTGTCCCTACTTAAGCTGCATTTGCCAGGTCCCAGCGAGGAGAAAAAACGAACACAGTGTGGACGTGTGGCTGCCACCGCCAGTGTCCCTTATGAGAAAGGTGGGCCGGTGGAGACACACAAGCCCACTGTGCACACTTTCGACGCCCTGTTCAGCTTCCAGCTCTGGCGGCATGAGGGCCAGTATAGACTTAACGACGACAACAATAAAATCCTCATTTGCTGTTGGACCTGCACCCATGAGGGCCGTGGGGTGACAGATAACTTGGAGGCAGAGGTGACTGCAGGTGCTGACTCTAGCAGAAACTCTAGAGATGCAAGACTTCTGGGTCCCAGAAGTCATGGGCAGATCCGATTTCAGCCAGGGGCCTATGAAGAGCTTCCCTGGGTCTCCTCAGCCAAAAGACAGGAGACCTCTGTAAAATCGGAGCTGAAGTCACTGGACCCAGACATGAGCAGTATGCACGTGATCCAGTCCGTTCTCGGCTGCAGGATAGGGGAAAGGGAGAAGAGGGTGGGCCCCCACACCCACCAGCTCAGCCAGGCTAGGGTATGCAGAATACCATCAGCATTCCAGCCCTGCCAGAGCCTGCGGAGAGAAAGAGGGCCAGCCTTTGCTTTCCAGGAACGGACCCACTGGGGCAGGAAGGTAAGCCCTGCGATTATGGTCAAGAGAGGGGACCGCAAATCACCAGTCCCTTCCCAACATGCCAGTCCCTTGGAACTGGAAGGAAAGAGGGTGTTCATGTCTTCCGGTCCCTCCAGCAGGTTATACACATTCTAGAAAACAGTGCCTCTTGCGTTCATGGATCTGAATGTAGCTCGGAAGGCCACAATGAGTCCTCTTGCTTCTGGTCTCAATCTTTGCCAGCTCACTTGTGTGTGTGTGTGTGTGTGTGTGTGTGTGTGTGTGTGTGTGTGTGTGTTGGGGAGTGGGGCACAAACACTGTAATTAAACTTTCAAGTCACAGCCAACAAAAACTGAGAGCAGTTACCATCCTAGGACTGAGACCGAATACCAACCTAGAACTCAAACTTCTTCCTGGGATATGATTAGCCTACAACCTTGTCTCAGCAGCAGGGAGCTGAGACCTCAGCAAGCATATTAAAAGCTATCATACCTTTGCTATGCGATCAGGTAAAATGGGATCTTAGATTTGGCTCCTAGGTGAGCTGGGAGCCCAGGACCACACTAGGATCTGGCCTGAGCTGGAGGGAAGTGCAATCTGGATCCCAGGCTGGGGGTCCCTTGGTCTATTCACCATGCTTCCCTACCAACAGCCCCGCTGTGGTCAAACAGAAACATCTGCTCAAAAGCACGCCTCAGCTCTTCCCAATGCCCTCAGTAACCTGACCTCCAGTCCGCCATTCATGTCTCATTTGCATACACTAGTCTTCCGGGGAGAAGCTACATCACCAGAGACAACCCAGATCAATACCGAGTATTAGGCTCGACTTCTTCTATTCTAATTCTCGACAGATCGGGATTCCATTAACTGTATGTGGGGATTTATGGGAGTGCTCATATACTAGAATATTTAACTAGAATGGCCTATTCCCTGTCAGAGAATAGCTTACTGTTGTTAATTTTCAACTAGTCAATCTCAGCAAGGCTCCCAGTTCCCAATACAGTCTAGATCTTGATTTAATCATCAGGAGAGACATCTTATGTGAGGTCTTCCCACACCACACATGGCAGTCTTCTCCGGAAGAAAAAGCCCTGCCCCTAGAACCAAGAAGCCTTGGGTTCCTCCATCCCAGTCATGCTCAGGACAGTACAGGTGCCCGCCCTTGGCCTCATTTTCCTCCTCTCTAAAATGGGAGAACTGTAAAACCGAAATGAGACGATCCATAGACACCAGACGACTCTAACTGCAAAGGTTCGATATTATCATGAAAGGCCCCAGATGAAATTCTCAGATAACCCAGGCTAGACAGAAAGCAGAGGTTATCACGAATGACTCTACTAAAGGGGGGGGGGGGGACAACTTCAACCCAGACAATACACGGAGGCATTCCTGGTTAGCACAGGAAGGGGCTGCTGCTAGAACCAACTGAGCAAAGACCAGGGAGGCTGCTCTGCACCCCCCATCATGCACAAGGGGCACCCACCGCAAAGAAGGTGCAAAGCTGACTGACACCCCCCCCCCTCCCCGATCCAAGTACTTAAGGTTGGGCCTGGGAGCTTTGCAGCCTAGGCGGCTTCCCAACCAGGCTTTCCAGTTCATGGGCTTCCACACTTGCAAGACGGATCATCTCGCAAAAAATAGTTCTTCTGTAAGCGGGACCCAAGTGTCAACTTCTGGAGTTTCTGAACTCCACACTGCCTTTAAATAAGGGGCTCTCTGCTCACCACTGCTCTGTTGGGTTGCTTTTCCAAAGCCTCGGCAGACATTCTCTTGGGCACAAACACAGGCTCCGAAAATGCTTGCCTAATTCTAATTTCCTGACGAAATGGGAGCCACGAGGGTCTCTAACTGAATTAAAATCACATCACGCCAACTGCTCGCTTGCTCTGTGCTGGGCACGGCGCCAAACACCTCCACATCATTTATCCTACTTAATCCACCACCAGCCAGGCGAGGTGGGCATTATTACCGCCTGCATGCAAGGGAGGAAATGGAGGATCAGAGAGGTTAAACGACTCGTCCAAGGTCACCAGCTGGCCAAGGGGAAGAGCCCAACTTGAACCTAGCTGGGTCTCTCATTTCCCAATCAGAGGCTCCCTGCACCTTCACGGAACACCCAGGTGCCAAGTTGTCTTAACTTCTCATGAATTTTTTAAAGGCAACCCGCAAGTTCCGTAATAAGTTTGGGTGGCAGCAACCGGGGGCGAGGGCTTCCGGGGAGCGTTCTCTCTCCGCAAAACGCAGCAGTACCACCGCAAGTTAACAGAGAAGCCACCCGGTCGCCCGCGGAACGGGGCGGATTGGTTTGGCGCTGGAGTTCGTGCCAGGCCCAGGAAATGCCATCTTTCGGGAAGCGAATCTGTGTCGTCCCCCCGCCCGGGGGGTGGGTGCGAGCCTCGGGGGCCGCGGAGGGCTGGATCGCCGCGGCCGTGCGCCCCCTCGGCTGGGCTGCGGATACAGCGGCGCCGGGCCCAGAGCTCAGCTAGTCTGGAGCGCACGCCCACGCCCGCGCCGCCGAGTCCTGAACGCCCAGTCCTGCGCCGCCCCCGCCCCCGCCCCGCCCCAGCCCCGCCAGGTGATCCGGGCCTGTACCCCCCCCTCCCCCCGGATGCCCGACGTGGCGCGGAGACCCGGGGCTGCCAGCCTTCCCGCTAGTCCTCCCGCGTGTCCGCCGCGCCCCGGGCGGGGTGGGGGTGGGGTGGCGCCCCGAGTGTCCCCGATCGCCTCAGCCTGCGCCCCAGCCCGCCCCGCAGAGGTCTCAGCCGCCCATACCTGCAGCATCCGGGGGCGCCGGGCGCCCAGGTA